TGTTTTCGTGATGCACATTTTCTTTACATAAAACTCTCTTATACATGAGTTGCTGTGGATTTGTTTCTCCAAAGTACCTAGACTAATACATTGCCTTTCACAGATGTGAGAGAGGGTGAGTATTTCTGAGTTTTGAAATTTTCAAAGAGAAAGATTTTACATCTAACTCATTAATAAAGAAAATCTATAAAACATAAAGATTCTATTGCTATGAACTCAATTTTATTGAAATGTAGAAATGGTAGAAGCATTAAATGGTGGTTGTTAGGAATTAAGAGTCAATGAACGGATTGCCAAAGGGCTAACATGTGTGTCATGCATAGGTTTTCTGTAGCTTTCTTGGGTAACAAAACAACTTGTGTAAGGGTGTTCTCTGTTTTGTCTACAGCCCTGGGATTCATGAACAGTTCAGTGACGAGCACCGTGACTGAGTTTGTCCTCCTAGGCTTCCCTGGTGGCCAAGACATGCAAATCTTCTTCTTCTCCATGTTCCTCGGAATCTATGTGTTCACCATCACAGGAAATGGCGCCATTGTCTGTGCTGTGAGGTGGGACCAGCGGCTCCACACCCCGATGTATATTCTTCTAGGGAACTTTGCTTTCCTGGAAATCTGGTACATCACTTCCACAGTGCCCAACATGCTGGCTAATTCCCTCTCGGAGACAAAAACCATCTCCTTTGTTGGCTGTTTCCTTCAGTTCTATTTCTTCAGTTCCCTTGGTACAACTGAAACATATATTCTCTGCAGTATGGCGTATGATCGATACCTTGCCATTTGCCGCCCATTGCACTACCCAGCCATTATGACCCTCCACCTCTGCTATATTTTGATGTTTCTTTGCTGGGTATTTGGGTTTCTCACATACTTGGTCTCCACAGTTCAACTCTCCCAATTGGTTTTCTGTGGGCCCAACATCATTGACCACTTTGTGTGTGACATGGACCCACTGATGGCTCTGTCCTGTGTTCCATCTCCTATCACTGAGATTGTGTTCTATATCCTGAGCTCCCTCATTATCATCTTCACGCTGCTGTATATCCTTGGCTCCTATACCCTTTTACTGATAGCTATATTAAAAGTCCCTTCAGCAGCTGGCCGAAGAAAGGCCTTTTCCACCTGTGGATCGCATCTGACAGTGGTGTGTTTATTCTTTGGGGCCCTCTTGGTAATGTACATGAGCCCCACATTTGATAACCCAGCTAAAGTTCAGAAGATCATAGCTTTGTTCTATTCTGTGATCACTCCCTTTTTGAACCCTCTGATCTACAGCTTACGAAACAAGGAGATGAAGGCTGCACTGAAGAAAGTCTTGAGGTTAGAATGAGCAAAATCTCCCAGACGCCAAGCAAACCACTGTCCACACATGGGAGATCATTTCAGAAAGACTTGACTTTCAGTTGCCACTGTAAAATATGTTTCCCCTCAGTGGAGTCCCTCACTAATTTACTCCTCAACTAACCAGGAAGAGCTACGTCATAAATGACTTACATAGAAAGACAATGTTTCCAATATGCACCTACCCAGTAGATATAATGCATGGTAACTCTGGGATTTTTCTCTGTTTTAGACTATGGGAGAAATGGGTACTGAAGGCAGAAGAGCAATAAAAAAAATCATATCATTGTGAATAAGGGGGAGTGCAGAGTGGAGACCCAAAGCCCAGCTGTAGGCAATTGGACATCCCCTTAGGGAAGGGTCATGGGGAGGAGACGAGCCAGTTAGGGTGCAGTGTAACAAAGATGAAACATACAACTTTCCTCTAGTTCCTAAATGCTTCCTTCCCATCTGCTCCCCCCTCCCCACTATCATTATCCCAATTCTATCTTACAAATCTGGCTAGACCAGAGGATGTACACAAGTACTGATAGGAATTGGAAACAGGGAATCCAGGACGGATAATCCCTTCAGGACCAGTGGTGAGAGTGGTGATGGGAGGGTGGATGGAGGGTGGGGTGGAAGAGAGGAACCTATTACAAGGATTTACATATAATCTCCTCCCTGGGGTACAGACAACAGAAAAGTGGGTGAAGGGAGATGTCAGACAGTGTAAGATATAAAAATAATAATTTATAAATTATCAAGGGTTCATGAGGGAGTGGGAAGCAGGGAAGGAGTGGGAAAAATGAGGAGCTGTTGCCAGGAGCTTAGGTGGAGAGCAAATGTTCTGAGAATGATGAGAGCAATAAATGTACAAATGTGCTTTACACAATTGATGTATGTATGGATTGTGATAAGAGTTGCATGAGCCCCCAATAAAATGATTAAAAAAATAAAAGATAGAAGAGCAGTTGTGTCCCCAGGTATGTCACCATTGGTGTCCTCAAGGCATTTCTTAACAGAGTCTAATATTTTTAAGTGAATAAAGAATCACATTTTAATACTTAGTAACTACAGACCTAAAGGATTTAATAACAGAAAAGTTTTCTAATTTCCATGGTTCTTTAGAGTTGAGGTTCCTCTAGATTTGGGACCAACAGGAAGTCTTATGCTTTCAATAGTGGTAGATGTGTTTGCATTAGATTAAGCAGTAGTCATAATTTCATTGAACAATTACTATTGAGTGCCTGCTGTGTTGTGGGCACTCTGTTGGTCACTAGAGAGACACTCTAACCAAAATGGCTACAACCCACTACCCTCGTGGAGCTTACATTTTCGTTGGACAGAGAGAAATGATAAATAAGGAAACGACTTAGCATGTCAGAAAGAGAGGCACTGTGGAGAAAAGGGAGAGGGAATAGAAAGTGTGAGAAGGCTGAAATCTTAAATAGAGAGATAAAGGAAGGCCAACTGGAAAGGCAACACCTAATCAAAAGCTCGAGGAAGGTGGGGGAACGAGCCAAGTAGAGAACTGAGAGAAGGAGAGCATTCTACGCTGAAGGAAGCAGCTTCCCTACAAAATCCTGAGGACAAGAAGTATGTTAAAGGAACACCCACGAGTGAACAGGGAGACAACACCTTGGGAATCATTTTAAGAACTTTTATCTCTACATGAGATGAGAAGCCTTTGGAAAGGTTTGAGCAAAGGAGTGACATCATCATAATTACATCACAAATCATTCAACTCTTGGACTAGTTTGTTGATAATAGACAGCAGGGAGATACGGTCAAAAGTCAGTGACCAACTGGGAGGTTATTATAAGATTGAATCTGAGATAAAACCCACAGAAGGCCTTAGGCATTCTATTTTACTATTATTTCTCCTGTAAAATAACAACATTAAAAGATGAACATGATGTAATCATTTTACAAAGTAAATCTATTTTAATTTGAACACACTAAAATTACCCCCATGAAACCTTGCTATTATGATGGATTACAAACAACAAATTGGAATTTTCATATATGTACATATATATGTGACTCACATTTTACCCCTTAATACCTACACAATAAATTTGATTCATGATCCTCTTCTTCGTGATTTAATCCTTTTTTCCATCATATGACTGACATGCATAGTGGTTACTGGTCATGATGGGATGTACTATTGAAACATCCTCGTTGACACTAAACCGTAACTCCTGACTCCTGAGTCGATGTGATTCTTGGTGTTGCCCAGAAGAAATGCTCCAGAGATTTCCGTTATCTTGCACAGGTGTGGGTAAGTACATTCAAAGTTATCTTGCACAGATGTGGGTAAGTAGTTTCAAAGTTATCTTGCACAGGTGTGGGTAAGTAGATTCAAAGTTATCTTGCACAGGTGTGGGTAAGTAGATTCAAAGTAATTCTTTCTAAACACGGTGCCTGATCTTCCAAAAACAACCATCTGGGACGGTGAAACCAAGCACGGTGAGATGAAGTTCACTGCCATCAAATCGACTTTGACTCATAGAGACCCTTTAGAGTAGAAGTGCCTCTGTGGTTTCTGAGTCTGTACATCTTTTGGGGAGTAGAAAGCCTCATATTTCTCATGGGGAGCAGCTGCTTTCCAACTGCTGACCTTGAGATTAGCAGCCCATCACAACCAACTATGCCACCAGGGCTCCTCCAGTCCCGGAAACTTAGGCTAAATATAGAATGATTACATTTAAAAGGAGCCCTAGTAGATTAAATATGGGCTGCTAAATGCAAAGTCAGAGGTTCAAGCTCACCATCTGTTCTGAGATGGTGAGAGATGTTTGCTCCCATAAAAATCAACAGTCTTGGAAACATTCTATAGTATCGCTATGAGTCTAATTAGATTCAGTATTGGAACATTCTATAGTATTGCTATGAGTCTAATTAGATCCAGTGGCAGGGGGCTTCATGTTTTGTGATCACATTTACAGGAATGCTTTAGCCAGTCCCAGCATCGTAGGCTTTCATGTTACCTTAAATGAAAAAGTCAAACCCATTGCCATCAAGTCTAATCTAACTCATAGCAACTCATACAGACTTTCAGGGACTGTAGATCTTTATGGGGGCAAACAATTTCAGCTTCCTCCTGCAGACTGGATGGTGTATTTGAACATGACTTTGCATTTACCTTCCAACACTTACCCTAGAGCGCTACCAGGGCTCCTTTTATACATCAAAGTGAAATGTGTGTACAATACAGTTGATTTTGCTTTCTTTGTCTAAAAGACAAAAATGTCCTGCTGTAATAGTATAAGTGTCATAAATCATACACAATAAACCATTGTACAATAAAACCCTTGACAAGGTGGATTGACGTGGTGGCTTTAACAGTGGGCTCAAACATTTAAAGTAATTGTGACGATGGACCGGGCTGTGTCTTGTTCTTTTATACATAGGGTTGCTATGTTTTAGGGTCCATAAGAGACCCCATCTTGAGCATAATTAAAGAAAACATTTCTTAAGTCTTGAGGCAAAGACACAGATGAAGAAGGCCACCAACACAAGATGGAAATGGCACCCAAAGGTTCATTGAAATATCAAGTTTTAACAGGGCATGGGAGCTGTGTTAGTCTGGGTTGATTCGAGGAACAAATCCAGGGACACTCATATGTATAAGAGAGAGCTTTATATAAAAGAGCAATTGAGAAAACATCCCAGCCCAATCTGGATCAAGTCCATAAGTCCAATAGTAGCCCATATGTCTGATACTAGTCCATAAATTCCTCTTCAGATTCACGCAGCACATGTAATGATGATGAATTTAGGAGGATCACAGGCCAGTGAGTGAAAAGTCTTGTGGATCCAATGCCGGTGGAGGCATCTCAGCACTTAGGCACAGGTCTCCTAACAGGAAGGTAAACCAGAGTGTGTGGCCCACTTCCAAGTGGAAGGAGAGGAAGTTCCCAGAATCCTCATGAGAAGGCTAAGGCCACAAAGAGGCAACATCACGCTGTGACCTGAATGACAGGATAAACTCCACCCCTAAACACTTAATATCCTCACATTGACATGAGATTATGTAACTATCACAGGAGGGCAAAGGAAACTCTGACAAAAGCATGTTGGGGGCAGAATACCCCCCAGTTACTGATGAGACTGCAGCAGTAGGAACAAGACCAGGATTGGAACAAGGGTTTACAAGATTGCTCTAGGGCAGTGGTTCTCCACCTTCCTAATGCCTCAACCCTGTAATACACACCCTCATGTGGTGCTGACCCCAACCTTACAATTACTGTCGTTGCTTCTTCATCACTGTAATTTTGCTGCTGTTATGAATCGTCATGTAAATACTTGAAATGCAGGGTGCATTTTCATTGTTACAAATTGAACATAATTAAAGCATAGTGATTCATCACAAAAACAATATGTAATTATATATTGTGAAATATTTATTTTTAATTGCAAAGAGTGAAATTTTGTATTGAAGCATGGTGTAGCATGGGTAACAGTCTTCATGCCAGGTACTCTTATGTGGGTGTATCTGCATGTGGGCAGACTGGGGATGGATAGAGGATCAAGGATCATTGTCTCAGTTCCTAAGATTATCAGAAATATGTGTCTGATGGTCTGATGGTCTAAGGTGACCCCTGTGAAAGGGTCGTTTAACCCCCAAGGGGTCACGACCCACAGTGTGAGAACTGCTGGTCTAGGGACTTCCAGTCAACACAGTCAGGGCCAAACTGATAAAACATGACTTATGACTATTACAGTGAGCTCCATCAAGGACACACCATGGAAACCTTCAAGAAAGAGACTGCCCCTCCCTGAGCTGGCTAGAGAGAGGTGGAGGCAATCCACTCTCCAAGGCATTCTGCCAGAGGGAAAGATTACCAACATCCTGGATTTAAAGATCAGAAAACATTCAGTGGATCCTTAATTTATGTAGGAACTCTGCAAAGAGATTTGGTGGTCTCAATACCATTCACACCACTTTTCAAACCAAGGTGCTTAAACATGAAGCTCTAACACACTATAAATTGGAACCAA